ATCTCCGTTCTGGGAGAGCCCCGGAACAATAATGCCCAAAGCGTAGGTTTGAAAGCCTGTTTTGAATTAATAAGAAAACTAATTACAATCAAAAAATGTCACCAAAAACAGCATTTTTGGGAAGTTTATAAATGGAGTGAAATTATAAGTGTGTTCCGGCGCTGGGATTTTATAAATGAGGGGGGAATTCTTAATGTGAAGTGAACATTATAACATTATCACCTTCTCGAGAGGGAACGGCTAGAATCCCTGTGCAATCCTCAGATACTCGGCATCTAGGGTTTGTTACCATTACTTAGGGTTTGGGGTGTGATTTTGGTTTTTAAATTTTGAAAAATTAAGAAATTTAAAGATTGAAAAGTCAGGAAATTTGCGTACCCTAAGTACTGGAAAGTTTACATGGGCTTCAGGGTTTAGGGTTTGGGGTTTAGAACTCCGCATGTCTGTTTCCAATCAGCTTCAATGTGGTAGTTTCCATAAATAGGGCCCAAACAGACCGCAAGACATTAAAATCATAATTCTTACAAATCCTTACTGACTACGGAGCCGTCCCACATGAGCCGTAGTCTAAACTCCTTAAAGGGGGTTATATAGAGGAGCATATAGCAGACTACAAGGCTTATTAGGGGGATACAGGGTCTAGGGTTTAGGATTTAGGGTCCAGGGTTTAGGGTTTAGGGTTTAGGGTCTGGGGTTTAGGGTTCAGGGTTTAGGGTTTTTGTGGCTTGTCGTTCGCATGCGCCTACATCGTTTGCATGCGCTGAACGCCTGTAAGAAATCGGACGTTTCTCAAGACAGTTCCCACGGGATCATCCAACGTAGGGGCTCCTACAATCCTTACACAATCCCATAGTATTACTCTTATTGTTCTAGACTGTTACTAAACCCTAAATAGTAGTTTCCATTTTATTTTCCATTATCACAATATAACCCCTATATAACCCCTATTTCCCATTATCCCACTAAAACCCTAAACCCTAAACCCTAAACCCTAACCCTAATGCTTCTTGCATCAACTCCCAGGTCACTGCAGCGACTCTGGCCTCCATGCCGCCACCGATGCAGAAGCAGCTTCTTGGAGAGTGCCCTGACTTTTGGGCATTTAAGGGAGTTATATAGGGGTTATATAGGGGTTATATAGGGTTTATATAGGGGTTAAATAGGGAGTTATATAGGGAAAATGCAAAATAAAATGGAAGCTACTATACTACAATAGAGGTTATATAGGGGCTATATAGGGATAATGGAAAATAATTTGGAAGCTACTACTATACTATAATAGGAGTAGGGGGGGGATCTGTAGAGCCTGTCGCTTGGGTATATGATAGCTTCAAGGGGGGAGTAAGGGAGGGGATATAGGGACAGTCGTTTGGGTATATGCTAGCTTCAAGCGGGGATCAGGGGAGGGGATGTGAGGACTGTCTTTTTTGGTATGTGGTGATTTCCCGAATTTGGGGGACCCCATTATAGCTCCCTACATGTCATAATCCTCATCAGAGGGAGACCCAAAAAGGTACACCTAATTTTGGGAAACGCCCCGTATGCGGGGATGATTGTGGTGATCCACTCCCCCGTACCCTCAACCCTGAACCAGTCAACCACTGTGAAATCTTGTGCTTGCTGCGCACAGGCTATCTGCTCCTTCATATGAGCTATACTCTAAACTGCTTAAAGGGGGTTATATAGGGGATTATATAAGGGACTGTTATTATGGGGGTTATTAAGGGGGATGCTTGGAGTTTAGACTACAGTGTAGGTTGCTTGAAATGCACATGTTAGACGAGAGCGGGGGTCACTTCTTGCGTGGCCTTCAGGTGGAGATTTTCATTTTCTAGTCAGTTCTGCCCATTTTCTGAGCGCCATTCTTATGGCCGGTAGGGTAAACAACCCGTTGCCTACTCCATCCTTCGCAAGCGACATGCATGATTGCACTTTGAGACTGTAGCAGTTCTGAGCCATACTTATAAATCCTGGCAATTTTGGTGGCTACATGAGGAAGCTCTATGCTGAGATTGCGCGCATGAATGCGGTACACGCTGGAAAAATCACCGGGATGATGCTGGAGTTGCTTGCATGCAGATCACTGCAGCAGTGGGATACAGGCAGACATAGCATGACATCCCTACAAAGCCCAAATGCCCTAAACCCTAAACCCTAAACCCTAATTCAAGGATGGACAACAGCGACATTCTTGCCTTCTTGGAGTCACCTGAGCGTCTACAGTCCAAAGTTAAAGAAGCTTTAGACATGCTGTCACGAGGACCGTAGTCCGCAACCGGATGACTTGTGGCTGGAGTGGTTTCAAAAGGTCTGTTCGAGTTTCCAAGCACAGGCTTCCCTTCATTTGCATTAAACAACTTATATGAGAACACTATAATATTGATCCTATGACCCCCTATGACACCCCGTTTCCATTTCATTTTCAGGTTTCTTTTCCATTTGATTCTCCACTATACGGGTAATATCCCTAAACCCTAAACCCTTAACCCTAAACCCTTATTCTGGGAACTGCAGAGGGGCACCCAATGTTTGGAACTCTTGTGTCTCCCGATGGGCTCAGCACGTTAAGGTCTCCTGCTAGCTTCTTGGGCGGAACCCTAAAGTTTAGGGTTTAGGGTTTAGGGCCTAAACCCTAAACCCTACCCTAGGCCTTGGGTTTAGGACACTGCCTTCCAGGCTTCTTAGGTGGACATGGCTCTCAGTGTTGACAGATTTCCCAGAACAGAGCTGACCAAATAACCTGTGGACGAATCTGATATAGCAGCCAGACAAAGTCCTTCTGAACCCGTGGCAATTACTGGAGAATCCTAAACCCTAAACCCTAAACCCTAAATTCCTGGAGAATCCCAGGAATTGTGGCTTGCATGCAGCGCGGGATTCCCCTCTGGGCTCCAGGGAGCAGAACGTAGCCAGCATGGAACATGGGAAGGTACTAGATAGGGATTCTACAAGGATTATATTCCCTTCTTACCTAGTATAACCCCAATATATTTTCCATTTTGTTTTCCATTTATCCCTATACAACCTAAACCCTAAATCCTAACAATAGTAGTTTCCATTTCCTTTTCCATCATCCCTGTACAACCTGAACCCTCAATCCTAATAACAGTAGTTTCCAGCTTCTTTTCCCAGCATCGCTATATACCCTAAACCCTAAACCCTAAACCCTAGGCTTAAGGCAGCGCAGCTATGGAAGAGCAAGCCCCCGAGCTTTTGCCCCGAGTCCGGCGGCTCGAGGAGCGTCTGGAGAAGGCATGGTAAGTCCAAAATATCTAGGGTTTATATGAGCCACAGTCTAAACTCCTTAAGGGGGGGTTATATAGGGGATTCTATAGGGAACTACTGTAGGGGTTATTAAGGGGGATACTAGGAGTTTAGACTTTCGCTCATATAGGGTTTTTATAGGGGTTATATAGGGTTTATATAGGGATTATATAGGGTTTATATAGGGTTTATGTAGGGTTTATATAGGGTTTATATAGGGGTTACATGGGGTTTATATAGGGTTTATATAGGGGTTATATAGGGGTTATATAGGGTTTATATAGGGTTTAGATAGGGTTTATATAGGGTTTATATAGGGGGTATATAGGGTTTATATAGGG